GTTAAGAGTTAGACAGATCCTAATGTTTTGACTACAATAAGCTGCAGTTAGAAATTTTGAGTAAAGACTTGATAACGTGACTAACTCAAGTTGAAGAATTCTATGATGACACTATAAATTTGAATATCTGTTTGATAAAATAAATTCTAGTATAAAATCAAAATTAAGCATTCTTACTAATTTTATTTATCACATAATTGTAAAAAGAGGATGCTTAAATTTAAGATTTTATGATATTTTTTTTATTTAAGTTGTAAATTTAAATACTTATTAAAAATAATATTTATTACTTATTACAATTAAAGCTCATTATAGTAAATACTCAGTATTATTTAATTTGTTCACAATAGTAAAAGTATTCACAATAGTGAAAATCTCTTTATAGTAAATTTTATATAAATAAAATAATTTCTTACAATACAATTTTTTAAAAAATTGTTTTTTATTTAATTTTTTTAGTTTATCACAAAATTGGCTAAAATTAGAATAAAATCATAATATAAATTTATATATAATATATAATATCACAATATTTAATATTAAATATAAAACTGTAATATTATATTATAATACTGTATTGTAATATTATACTATAATATCATATTGCAATATCATAAATAAAATCTTTCACAAAGAATATATTATATTATTTATATATTATATATTATTTATACATTTTTAAAATATATATATTTAACAAGTGTATAGGTAAAATAAGTATTTTTTTAAAAAAAATATATCTTGCAATTATATTTTTACATTAAACAATTGATTTGCATCATTTAAACTTAGGAATTTTTAAAACAAAAAAAATTTATATTATTCTATTAATAAGTCATCCTTAAATTAAAATGTTATAATCAAGTTTTAACAAATTATTTTAATTTAAAAGTAGCAAATTACCCATAAATTCATGTTTATTTATTATAACCTATATTTGTAATTTTTGGGATTCATTAATATATATTTCACAATATAGATGCCTGCCAAAACCTTCTCAAAATAATTTCGTCATACCCTTTTCTATGTTTTTAATATAGTTTCGACAGTTTCGACTTTCGTCGTATCGAATGGGTTTCGTCGTATCCCTTATTATGATTTTAATATAGTTTCGTCTAAGTTTCGACTGTTATTAAGGGGTTTCGTCCCTCATCTATAATTTCACATGATATTTGCTATAATGTTTATAAATTAATTAATATATATTTTTATTTAAATTTTTAATATATTTATTATATATAATATTGAGATTTTATTATTAAATTCAATATAACGAATAGAATTTTATACATAATAAATTAGAAAAATAAAAAAAGTTTACTATAAGCCAAATTCACTATAATAAGTTTCAATATAATTGTAAATAAATTATTATAATTATTTTTAAATTTTTTGAATTTTTTATTTTTATTTTAGAAATTGCTTTTATTAAAAATATTTAACTTATTATTCTTAATTTATTATTATTATTGTTACTTTATTCAAAGATTAACAAAATTAAAATATTTTAAATTCTCTGATTTATTTTTCATATCTTTTAAATCAAAACTATATCACGTGATGATCGACTCTTTATATAATTTGTCACCTTATTTGTCACGCGGATAATTTCGCCCAAGTTCAAGTAATACCGGCTAAAAAATCACGTGGAAGAAAAATGTGTTGGCGATACTGGGGTAGTTCAAGAATAATCGATCTAATCTGAAATTTTGTAGTAACGATCGAAAGTAATAATTTTAGCACTTAACACCTCACAATTTGACGGTTAAGAACAAAGATAAGTTAAAAAAAATAGTTAACAAAAGAGCATTAAGGTTACGTGAGGTAAATTGTAAATTATAAGTCTTTTTATTTTAATAATCGTTTTTTTTTTATTAACATTACATATTTAGTATCAATTAATTCCAGATATTTAGACAAGTTGAATTCAGAATGGAAATACGTTTAAAGACTTGTCGAAGTTGACCTTTACTTAAAAATCATAGTTAGCTTTAAAAAAAAAGTTTTTGAGACTTGAAGAATTAGATAATTCCAAAATGGCAACGATTAATATTGAACATTTAAAGGATCTAAAAATTCATTTGAAAGTTTAATGCTGGAAGCATTTAATGAACCTATAATACATTGCTATGTCGATAGATTTTTAAATCTAGACAGAGGAATAAAGACAAATAGCTAAATGAAAAGGTTTATAGATTTGGTTATCATGCAAGAAGAAGTAAATTAAAAAATTACATTGAAAAGAATTTTAATATCGTTCATGGAAAAGACATTTTTTTTTTAAAAAAAAGATGAGAAATACGTACCGTATGAAAAATCAATTAGAGGAAGGCATTGATCAATATCGTAGTAGGGTTAGAGATGGCCAAAAGTTTAGCTTCTAATGAAACCGCAATCAATTTAGATTTTATTGAAGACTTCTTATTTTAAAACCGGCATTGTAAATCCTCTTTCATGGTTCACGATATATAAGAAACAAAATAATTTATCAGAAAATAGCATCATCAAAGCAAGGATAGATAGATCAGAGTTGATACTTATTTTCATATCTAGATCTTGAGAAATTTATAAAAGGTGGAATTTGGTGGTGGCATGACATGAAAAGTTATCTGTCATCTTTATATTAATAGTTATATGAGCGCTCAATAAATCATGGTAAAATTTTTCACGATCGCAAATATTTGTATTTTCAATATAAAATTCTAATTTGTCTTCTATCTGATTCTTACTATGTTACTTACTAGTGGGCAAAGGTCATTTCCCGCCAATAAATAAGATTAGTCTTCAGTACCAATAAAAACGGATTTTATTATTTATTTATTTAATGCAATCCATGTTTTTAATCCGAGAATAAAATTAAATTCTTATTTATTTCCCGCCAAAACTTATACATTTTACACGTGTCTACATATGAAAAAACAATAAAGATAATATATAATTTGAATTGTTCGAATTTAATTTTTAATATAAATTTTATTTATTATATTCCAAAAATGCCATTAAAAATCATTTAAATTAATCGAAAATGCTTTTTTTTTTTATTTTAAAAAAAAAAAGGGTTACCCGGAAGTGAAAATAACGTTATAAAAACTATATCGGTTAATTTCAATTATACAGTATATTCGATAATAATCATCGAGCAAGGTATTGAGTTGTAAAATGAATTTATCCAGAGGTATGGTATGTGTCATTTTCTTTTATAAAAAAAGGAACGACATTCTTGAGTTTTAGACCGGTGATAATAATATATGATTTATGTCAGCAGAAGAGGGTCGTAAATAATTAAGCAGAAAGATTGGAACTTTAACTCAAACATGAACTACACCGCTTATTCTTGCCCGTCAACACATCTAATCTCATCAATGCCATGCGTATTGCTTTAATTTTCTCAACCGGACCGGATAGGATGAAACACGTCTTTCATTATTTGGGAGGTCATGAGTTCATTATTATTTAAGTTGTTGATTTAATTTTGGAAATATTATAACTAGATTTTATATTTGTGATTCCTTTCAAGGTAATTGCTTATTAATAAAGATCATTTTGACAATGAAAAAAAAAGGCAAACTCTAAAGAGAATTCTTCTAGAAAGAGCAGATTGAATGGGCTTTCATCAGAAGTATTATATTAATAAATGATAGACCCTGCATACCATTACATAAAACAAACAATCAATCATTGTTATGATTCCATAAGATACGCCCATTGCATCAATGTTGTGAATGTGGAGATCACGGCCCTTTGACGCAAATCTCAAAACGAAAATTCATTCAACCTAAGCATTTGAAAGAATTTCCGCAGGTATATTCAACAGCACCTTTGACCCTAGCAAAATGAAAAGTGAAAATATAAATATTAGCATTAGAGTGTTATGAAAATTTCAAGATTCTATTTTATTTAAAGAAAAACATAAGCATTTACTCATCTTAAATCTTTTACCCCCTTTTTTTTAAAAAAAAAAGGGTATTGGCGCAGTCATTTCTGTCATCAATGAAAAATATTTTCCTATGTTCAATTTTTTAATAAAGTTTCTTTTAGTTTGTCAAGTTCAACTTGGAGATCACTCCACCCTAAAGTGTCGTAGATCCGGGAACGACCGGCATTATAATGATCGACATGTGAATTTCAAAAAACAATTTTTTTTTAATTTTATTTTTTCGTATTTATGATCCACTTTAGTCTAAATAAATATATTAATACTTGATAAGACTAGTATGACTAATTGCTAAATTTTGCAAAAAAAAAAAAAAAAAAAAAAAAAAAAATTTTAAAAAAAAAAAAGTACGTGCGTGATGTGCATAGTTTTTACAAATGGATTATTGTTATATTGTTCTTCATGACTCAAGAATTCGGAAATCTTAAAGAAAGAAAGGATTTGATTCATGTGATAATTTTTTCTGCTTAAAAAAAAAATATTTTGTCATAACCATTGTTTTTAAATCGAAATTTAAAAATAATGTACAATAGCTTAATTTAATGCACAATAGTGTTTTACATTTGATATTGATAGCCTTACATATTTTTTTCCCAAAATTTTAAATCGTGTTTAATACTTGCTTATATTTTCATATTTTGGAAATTGCGCCAACCTTTTTTTTTTTTTCTCTTTTTTTTTTTTTTTTTCTTTTTTTTCTCCCCCCTTCGTATTTTTTTTTTTCTTTTTTTTTTTTTCAGGTTTTGGTGTACAGTTTCATTGTTTACGATCTTATATTGCACGTGTTTCATTGTTGTGTTCCATTATTGATAATCGTCCTAATAAAAAAAAAAGAGATGATAACAAACAGTTTCTAATGTAAAAAAAAAAAAACGATTTGTTTATGCTAAATATAAAGGACCATTCGTTTCCTTACAAAAATTACACCGTCTTTTTTTCCTTCCCCTCTTTTTTTAAAATAACAACAAAGCGCAAAATTTTGCTCTTTATCACTTTGATTATTTGTTTCGTTGCATAACAGGATTAAAATCATTTTTTTTTTTTTTTTTGATATAAAATTATCAAAATGACGATATTCGATCCAAAAGTATGTTACGTAAATTGTTTCCTCACGATAATAAATATATAAAAAAAAAAATTTTTGTTTTTAACTTGGTACTTTTTTTGATTTTTTACAGACTGATGCTGTCATTATAAAATTTATGTTGGAAGAGGGTCGTAAGCATAAAAAACCGTTTTCGGAACTAAGTAAAAAGATTAAATTTTCAACCAAACAAATCTGTCATCGGTAATTACCAAACTAATATCTTTATCTCGTGATAATTTACCTAAATCATCAATCATAACTTATTTTATAATTTTTTAGCTGGAATGAACAAGTGGACCCCCGAAGTACGTAAATTTAAATCTTTTTCATTCTCTTTCTTTTTTTTCGATTTTAAATTAAAATTTTATGTCTTCTTCTTGAATAGTTGAACGTGGACCTTTGTGCGATAAGGAAAAAGAGTTTATTAATCAATGGGTTAAAGAAAACAGAAAAAGTGATGGCAAGATTCGTTGGACTCGTTGTCAAAATGATTTAAAACTTATATTTAATAAGCTCCGTTCTACAAACAAGATTAAAAACGCTTGGTCCTCGGAGCAAAAGCGACTCGCACGTAAAGAATATATGTCTCGAATTACCTCCTTTAAAAATGACGATAATCATAAAGTCGGAACCACTGAGATCATCCCTGTTTTCACGTCTACGGCCGTTCTTCCTCCAACGCTTCAAACAAATTTTCATCCGGGATTTAAACAACCTGATAAGATGCGACCAGTCTTTTGATTCTAGACCAAAATGCATCTTTCTTTTTTTCTTTCCTATTTATTTCATTATATATAGTTGTTTTACGTTTATCACTTGCACTTTACATTTGTTTCCTTCATAGATTCCCATTTTCATCATCATTTTTTCTTTTTTTAACATTTTCCTGCTTTGAAAAATAAAAATAAAAATAAAAAAATTTAAAAAAGGTCAAACATGAATCAATTCGCCAATAAAATTTTGGCGAACCTTAAAAGATGAATCATTCTAGAAATACACAAACATGAACGCATCCGACCAAAATGGGCTTCACCACGAGAAATATTACAGACTGGAATTTCTACATTAGTATTAGCAAATTTAGTTGCTCAACACATTTTAGGTTATAAAACAACCCATTATTTGCCAAATGTATATTATCATTATCTTTCATTCATAATGGAGCCGATCACAAGGATCCTTATTTGTGACTGAATGTTACCCTGCATAAAAGGTATTGTATCACGATTTATGTGTCATTATTAGATTATCTTTTCATTCATTCAACTAGTATCTATTTTTGAAAAGTTTTGAATGATGAATCTGATTGTTTAAAAATTTAAAAATAAAATGACCCCAAATAAAGTAATTAAAGAAGAGTCGAACGTAAGCGTTCAAAGAATTTAATCGTTATAAATAGTATGCAAACTGATAAAATTTCAAAATTGTTTTTTCTGTCGCTAAAGTGAAAATTAAACCTAGACTTCTCTATTCAATTACTTGCTTCTCATTCCGAACAGCAACAGAAAGCTATAAAATATGACAGATAACGACAGCAGCCAAAGGACAAAGAAATTGTGTAAATGATTTCTAATAAAAAGAAGCACTCGAAACCTCTAACGTTAACTTTAGAGAAATTGAATTGAAAATTTAAATATGGAAGAGATAAAATTTTATTAATTTTATTGCAAATGCTGGCTGGCTTGGTCGGCTAAAGATCAGCAGGAATTATTTCCCTTTTTGAATACAAAAGACAAATTCTTTTCGTTGGCTATATTCTTTGAATCAGAGTCGATTGCCTTTTTTTTTTTTTTTATATATATATATTATCTATATTATATGATGACATTTTTTATTTATATTTTTGCTTTGTTGATTTTTACATTTACATTCTTTCTTACGGGAAAAATTTTCATTCCCAGACTTGTTTTACTTTTTAGGTTAAATCCATCTCTATAATCTTTACATTTAAATCAATAAATATTTTTTCTCTGATGATAAACAAATTTTGAAAGTCTTGGAACATTTAATTTGGTAAAAATGTCGCATGATTTAAAAGAAAAAGGAAAAACAAATGCACAAATTTGCGCCACCCTATTTTGAATGGATTTTCTTTTACCAATCGAATCGAAGACACTCGAGTCATTGGGAAAAAAAAAAAAAACAAGAATTTAGAATTCAGTCATGTGCATCAAATGCATCACATTCTAAATTGTGCCATTGTTAAATTTTCCTCATTCAGAGTTATTTGTTTATTTTAATGAATCTCGATCGATGAATGAGCAATTTAAAGGGTACAATTGAAAGAAGTACCAATGAAGGAGGGGTATGACTTTTCTATTTTCTTCTTTCCTTCTTTCTTTTTTTTTTTTTTTTTTTTGCAATTTGATAAATGTTTCAGGTTTGTACCATTAGCAAATACAAGAAAATGACGTTATATCTTTGATTGTTTCATTGCCTTTTAGGATCTAAAATTATTATAAAAACGCGCGCTTTCCCACACTTTCCAAAATTCTTCCCACAATTCTTCTCACAATACTTCACATACTTTTCCCTTCGCTCCTTGAAAATACCCAAGAATTTTTTAAAATTATTTTCATATTTTTAATTATTCCCATCACTTTTTTAACATTATTTATCTATTCCATTTTTTAATCATCTAATATTTAATACCTGTCGACTATACCCAAATTATTTTCTTCTTTTATTCATTTCGATCTTTTTTTCTGTTCTTAAAATCAAAATTTTTGGAGAGAATGAAAACTACCTATACCCAAGAAATCAATAAAATCATCAAGGATCGCGAAAAGTCAAATTGTACTTGGAAGGACATTGCTACTGAGCTAAATGAGCTTTATCCTAGAGCGAATCCTTATATTGCAAAGCTGGTCAAACAACATTATGTAGAAAATCTTAAAAATAAACATGTTGAAGGTCCCTTAAGTGACAAAGAGAAAAGAATCATTGATGAGTTGGGTAATAATCAAAACCAATTTTCTCCCACAAAATTAGTGACTGAGTTGCAAAAGAGGACTGGTAAATTACGGAACTTAACCAGTATCAAGAACTATTGGTACCCCAAAAAAATTAAAGAACAAAAATTGGCTCAAGCTGAAATAGATCAAAGAAAGTTTGCTGCTGAAATCACCGAATATTCAACTGCTAATATCGATAATATACCAGCCCCACCTGTATTGCAACCTATGCATCACCCAGCCCCACCTAATGTATTGCAACCTATGCATCACCCAGCCCCACCTAATGTATTGCAACCTATGTATCACCCAGCCCCACCTGACGTATTGCAACCCAAACCCATGCATCAACCACAATTTACTTTTCCGGACTTGACATTATTTGAATGTGATAGAAAATAACCCCAACAAATTTCTAGATATATCAGGAATATATCCTCTAAAATCTTTTTTTTTTTTCCTCTTAAATATTTTAATTTATAAAAACAAAAAAGTAAAAAAAAAAGTTAAAAAATTATATTAAAAAAAAATTTTTTTTATATTTTATGTAATAATTTATTTTTTTTTTTATTTCATTTTTAACATTAATTAATGCAAACATATTTATTGTCTTTTATACGAATTGTAATGTATTTTAGAACCCGAAAAAAAGATATCTTATTGATAGTTTAATTTCGCTTTTTTTTTTTTTTTTTTTAATAATCTAAAAATATGTAATCTCTACTGGCTAAAATTTTAAACATGTATCTTCTGAATTTTTTTTCTTTTAATAAAAAAAGAATTATTTAAAATTTTATGTAATAATTTATTTTTTTTTAAACTATTATCATTAATAAATTTTTTTTATAAGCACGTATTATTATATTAATGTATTAATAATGTCCTTTTATACAAGTAGTAATGCATTTTAAAAAATTAAAAATTGACTAAATAATAAATATACAATCTCATAGTCCATGTCTGAATAAAATTTTCCTCTGTGTTTTCACTATCGTTTTGTTCCATGCGATTGGAGACGCTTTTAGCAAGAAAAAACAAAATCGAACATATCTACCATTTCACGGCTAAAGGATTCGTAAGGTTCGTTTCAACAGCATGATATTGAGTGCGTAATAATGATTTGGATTTTTCACTATTAATTCCATCAAGCCATTCACTACAAAATACCAAAAAAAAAAAAAGGGTCAGTTCTAACTGATATAATCACCACTTTCTAAAATATCACCTCCAAATACAATTTCAAAGCCTTACTTGTAAAGGTTTAATACGACATCATTCTTTTCGGGTGAAACGGAATTAACGTTACGGTAAATATTATTAACATGTAATATCCAATCCTTTATGGGAATATTTTCATTTGGCTTTAATTGACCACCACCATTTATACAACCAGATGGACAAGCCATAACTTCAACATAATGATATGGTGAATTATTATTTTTAATCTTCCGAACAAGGTTTTGTATATTTCTAAACCCATACGCTGATGCAAACTTCAATACAGGTTTTCCGTCAATCTAATGAAACCGAATTTTTTAGCGGATTTCAGCGAAAACTCAAAACATCATTTTTCGAAACAAAATTATTTTTTGTCAGAACTTTACCTCAAGAGTGACCTCTTTAAAATCTTTATTACGGCCAGTTTTAACCATAACACCTCGTTCACCTTCAACATCAACATCAGTAACTTTAAATAATTCACGAGCGGCATATTCAAGAATAAATTCTAAATAGCCTCCTGATGCACTTCCGGAAGATCTCAAAAGTTCCCCTTGTTGTGAAGTTTTAGTAAAAGTATCTAATGAAGTTTCTTCACTCGTCATAATATCAAAATGACTCTCTTCAAACATTTTGACAACTTCCCCTGATGTTATTACACAATCAACATCTCTTGTTTGATAATCATCATTAAAGAAATCATTTCTTGATGCTTCTAATTTTTTATCATAACACATCATGACACCAACATGATATATATTATTAGGTTTAATCCCTAACTTATTTCCCAAGTAATCCTTAACAACGGAACCCATAATTTGTTGTGGTGATTTAGTTTGACTAATGTAAGGTAAAATAAATCCATGAGTTTTTTCAGCATAACAAATCCAACCGGGACAAGAAGAAGCTAGCATTGGTAGCTTAGCATCATTCATCGCATGATCACGTCCCCCTGATGTTCCATTACGTTTTGCTTTTGATGATTTGATATCGTTACCCGCCGTGAATTGCTGTTGCTCTTCTTGATAAACTCGATATCTCTCTACAAATTCACGAGCACTTTCTAATAATGAAAAGTCTCGTGAAAACGAAGTATCAAATACATGATGAACTCCAAGCGTTTTAAAGAAATACGTTAACCTTTTAGCTACCTAATTTTTTTTTATAAAAACAAAGTTTAAGATCATTAGTCTAAAAACGATTAAATATATATATATATATATATTTTAATGCTTTAGTTGTCTTTTACCTGTAATGGGGTTAAATTGTATTTGGCAGCAATCGAAACAACAGATTGAGGAGCTATTGAAACAACAATAGTCTTTACTTGATCAGCCTTATTCTGTTCTATTGCTTCCTTATTTGATTTTAATACATTATATAGTTCTTCTTGAGACTGCATTGTTATAAGGACACTTTCCGCCGATGTAATACATCCACTTCAATGATATTATAACGAAAGTTAAAGGACGGTTCAAAATAAATTAAATGAAAGTCAAAGTCCAAATACCTGCATGCTAAACAATCGTCAAGAGTGATACTGGCGGTTTGTAGTTTAGTTTCAACGCCGTCCAGAGAAACTTCATAATAACCACCAGAATTATCAACTTTAATCACATTCTATTAAAAAGAAAGTTAGTTGCAAAGTTGAAAAGTAGGAATCAAGGGTAATAACTTTAAAGGTAATTGGACTTTACACTTTTGCTGTCAGTTGACGTTTTATTGACTTCAACAGGTTTAATACAAGCTTGTGAGGGAGCAATATAATCGTTAAGATCCTTTAGTAAAACGGACATGATTAAAAGAGAAACGCCAATTAAACAAAGAAAAATTCCTAGATTATTTATTAGTAATTTTGATTGGTAAATTATCGCACTTTGATTGGATATAAAATCTTAGCATATTGGCTTTTTTAAAAAAAAAGATAAGGCCAGACCATTTTTGATAAGGCTGGGTAAAAAAAAAATGACGCCAATAACCATTCTTTAGATAAGGCGAATTATTTTTCGATGGATTGGGGTGAATCGTGATACGAATTTTTATATCTGTTTAATAACTAGGAAACGGGGACCTGTGACGAAAATCACGTGGCGGACGGAGAAATACTCACATGACCAAATTTTAATCAATGCACAGAAATATATTGTCCTTCGCTTCGCTCAGGACAATAAATAAATCAATAAAACATATATAATTATTAAAACTTTTATAAATTACTCATGAATTAATTTATTTCTCTTTTCTCTATTAAATAGTATGTAACATTTCTCTTGGATGAAAATTATTGAGCTATCTAAGACTGGTCCTATTTTTATGACGCCGTTTACGTCGTGGTTTGAAACGACAATTTATATGTTTTGAATGTTGAGTGTAATTTAAATATGTACAACGTCATAACAAAACTTCTAAATTTCTGAACTTTAAAAAGGTTTAACTAATATTACTGCGACTTAAAGAGTAGCTTTCGTTAGCTCAGTAGTAAAAATTTTAGATTATTATTAGTACTATTTTGAAATATATAATAAAATTTGGTCATTTGATGTCATTTCAAATCACTTTGATCGTCCGATAATTATAATTACGATCGAGTATGGCTTATATGCTAAGCAAAAACCTGCAAATGTGATAGATGAAGAGGAAAGGATAAATACATGATTTGTGTTAAGATCTTGCTTTGAAATTAAATCATATATAGGATTCGAAAAAGTTTTGACGAGTACACTTGTTTGTTCTCTAAGGAATTAAAAATATTTTAAGGGTTCACATAAAGCTCACGTAATATCAATAGTAAACAAAAATATTAAAAACTTCTTTTCGTTCGCTCAAAGGGTCGTCACAGCATATTTGAAGAACCACACGTGTTATAATAATTATAATTGTTCGAAACCTTAATTATGCGTTACATTTTTTATTCTCGGAAAAATATCTTTACACATTCCTAAAAGGAAAACTACATATAATACAAACTTCTCTTTATCAAAGCAAAATAAATTTGGATTATTATCGTGAAACTATGCACAAACATCACTTTTGTTCTTTCATTAATGATTGAAATTAAACGTAATACACAAACAAAAATAGAGCTGCGGTGTAAAAAGATTTTTATTCGTTGCTGCTAATGAATAAACACAAGAAATTTTATAATTTCTTTTGAAAGGATGTCGTGTTTCTCGAATTAAAAAAAAGTTACTTTTATGATTACCTTGTGAGGAAATTTTAATCATTAGAAAAGTCTTGGGTCAGACAAAAATTTGTTTCAAATTATAAATAATTGCATATGAATTTTGTTATACGAATATCCTAATTTGGAAATTGCGTAACAAAACTCGCTATTGGATTGACCACAAATACAGACAAAATTTTTACATTGTTATTTTTTTTGGAAGGAAACCATAAATATAAAAATGAAGTCAGATAGAAAAAAAATTATATAAGCCAGTTTTTTTTCTCGAAATCAAAAAAAAAAAAAAAATCAGAAAATAAAAATGGAAAGGTTTAGGGCCAATGATCGAGTATGTAAAACTTCTTTTTTTTTTTATTTATATCAAAAATAAATTCATATTTTTTCTTTTTTTTTTTGTTTTTTTTTTTTTAGATTGATAAAATTATTATACAGGGGATGAGGGATTTTGGTCATCTTAACAACCCCTATGCAAAAATTGCTAAGTTAATTCCTCAATATAGTTCAAATCAAATCCGCAATCGGTAAGAAATGTAAATCTATCACAAAATGTCACCTCATTATCGTAATGAAATACTATTTGTCACTTTTATAGGCTGGGTTAATATTTAATCTAGTTAAAAAAAAATAATTATTATAATTATTATCATTATTATTATTTAAATAAAAATGACTTATTTTATTATTTATTTATTTTTTTTTTTATTATAAATGTTAGTTATATAAACTATCTAGATCCCGAGCGTAAGTATATTATTATCTTTTTAAATTACCTTATTTAACATGAAATAATTCTTTCCTTCTCTCTATTAAATAGTGTGTTCGGATCCTCTAGATGAAAATGCAAAGCTCTTTGTTAAAGATTGGGTTTTATCTAAGGCTGCGCCTATATTGTGGAGTCGTCTACGTCATGCTTTGAAAAACCATACCAATAATTTATGGTCAGAGAATGACCTAAAAAATTATTGTTATTCAAGAGAAGGACCTCTATCTCGGATTAGACCAGATGTTCAAGATCGATCTATCAAGATGTCTGTTAATTATCTTTTAAACTAATATGAATGTAATGCAGGTCATTACATGCTACACATTTTGACATTAATAATAATATAATAATAATAATTATTTCAATATTTTCATGCGTGGTTTTTTTTTTTATTTATTTAATTTATTTGAAATATTACCATTCCATGTCTTTCATTAATAAGGTTAGCGGAATGCATACATTTTTTTTTAATAGAATAGGTATATAGATAAATTAGTTTACATTCACTTCAAGTAGTATACAGTATTCGTTTTGAATTCTCCTTATTAAGGAATAAATATACATATAATATCAAGTTGGGGAAACTTATAAAAATTTTTTTTTTCTTGCACCTTATTTGTTAACCAACTGAAATGGTAAATATTGAAAGGATAATATGAATTTACATTTTTATGAAAAGCTGATAATCTATCTATCATCTGAATAAATCCTAATTTGGCTACATAAATCAAAAGTGAGGGGTTATTTTTTTTTTTATAGTTTAACAAATTACAGCGAGTCAAAGCTTGGTACAGTAATACTGCTTTTTTTGGCTGATGACCCGCAGTTACCAACCTTCATGCCATTGATTGAATCTTTTAGTAGTTCAATATAAAATTGTTTCAATTGATTAAATAAAAGGTTAAAGAACGAAAGATTTATGAGTTAAAACTTTTTTTTATGAATTTTTTACCTTCCTACTAAATTCTTTGTGAGCAAATTTTTTTTTATGCGGATTTATAGTCAGTTTGTGATGATTCTCCATTCTCTGGTAGCTTATTAAAGACATAATTTGAAACAAACTCGTTACTTTTACGAAAATAGGACGAGATAAATTATCAAAAAAAATTTCAAACATTTGCTCGCGGAGTATGATTTCTGGAGTAATAAATTTTACAAGATGTTTACTAACATTTAATTTACATTAAACATTCTACTATTGCTCTTTTCATATCGTGTGGTTATTATTAGTGGCCATCTTAATTGACCAAATTATAATTTCGGTTAGAGTTAAGTTCAATTTTATTATACAGAGTCCTTTAAATAAATTATATTTCAAAGTAATTACACATAATAAATTGTATAAAAATTATAAAAGTAGAAAGTGGTAATATTATTTTTGATTATAAAATAATTTGTAGTAGTTATTGTAAAAATTAATTTTTATAATTATAATATTATTTGTAATTCTTTCAAATCAATAATTATTAAACCTTTTTTTTTTTTTAAAAAAAAAAAAATTAATTAATTAATTAATAATTAAGATAAATAAAAAAAAGAAAAAGTATTTTTTAAAAATATTTTAAAGTTATATATAAAATTCTAATTATTAATAAATACTATAAAGCTTTTCATGAGTTGAATTATAAGTCAAAAACCTTCATTTTTAAAGTAATTTTTATTAAGCTTTAAATAAAAATTTATAATTATGCAAATTAAAATGCAAGTTTATATAAACCATTCTTTAGAACTCTAATAAAATATCAAAATTAATAAAATTTTAAATTTTATTACAAGTTATATCAAAAGCAGTTTTGATATCTTTGTGGTAAAGAACTTTATGTCTTTTTGCACTAATAGTAGGTGATTTTTCTTGGGATTTAGATTTAGAATCTAATATATAATAATATATTTATTTATTATTTTACCTTTTAAATATAATAATATAAAAAAAAATCATGTATAAGAAAATCTGTTAAAAATAATCAATTATATATTTTAATCTTTTAATAATATAGAATTATTATATAATTATTATAAATTATTAAAATACATCTAATTATATAAGTTTAAAATTTATTATTATCTAATCATTTTATTAAAGAAGTCTAATTTTAACTTTAATGTTTATAAAATAGTTTAATAATTTTAATAAGCTAAAATTTATACAGATTATTTTAACCTTTTTTAAAAATATTAATTTATTAAATTTAATTAATTTAAATTAATATTCAACTATTTAAGTTAATTTATAATAAATTTATTTTTAAAGTTTTAAAAAATTTTTTTTTATTAATAATTAAATAATAAAATTTATATTTAAAGCATTTTTTACTAATATTTTAATAGTTAAAAATACTTTATAATTTTAAAAATAATTTTATTTAAATAATATTATTTATGAATTTTAATTTAATATTAAAAATTTTGCAATAAAAAGAAAATTTAAAAAAATTTTTAGAATTAATATTAAACTGAAATTATTTACTAAAAAAATATATTTAGTTTATAGAATAAAAATTGTTTTACTTGTATTTTTCTATTATTAAATACCTATATTTAGTATTGGTCTTTTGGATTAATAGAATTTTAGATTATTAGATTATTAGATTAATAAAGTTAATCCATTTCAATTCCATTAAAATTTAGAGGATTACTTTGTTCAACAACTATAAATTTATATATAATTTTAGTAATATGTTCATAATTGTAATAATTAATAAAAGTGGATTGTCCTAAGACATATTAATATATTAATATATTAATATGTCTTAAGTCAATCCACTTACACTAGACTAATATATCCTAGGTCATTATAATCTATTAATTAATATGTACTAGAACATTATAATCTATTAATTAATATGTCC